GTCATGGTCACCTGGAGTTTTACCTGTAGTTTGACCTTTAGTACGGTCATGGTCACCTGGAGTTTTACCTGTAGTTTGACCTTTAGTAGAGGTCATGGGGCATTTTGTCATGTATCAAAAAGGGAGAATGGAATGCAGCCGTATCAGGTTTTACATTTATCCGTACCACTTTACAAGAGGGCCTGCTTTTGCCATTTATAAGTAGTAGTAACTCATTAGTACCTTATTAATAATGAATTAATTTATCATTTGTTTATAATTGTTTATTTTACAGTGTTTACAACCTAATTACTGCACATCAGTACCTCATCATTATGCTACATTTGAATCCCACTGTTGTGTTTTGTCACAGAGTGTCATGCACTGGAAGTCATACGGTGCGCGATTGGTATGTGACAAATAAAATTTTAATTAGAATAATTAATTACATTCTAAAGCAAGGATAGTCTTATTGTAGAGTGGTACCCAGTTATCATTATAGAAGTAAGGTTATAGATCAAACTGGGATTTGCTGGTGTAAAACCAGTGTTTTGTTATGATAATCCTGGGGATGAGTCAGTCATACATATACCATTATGCCCCATTACCATGACCCTGAGATTCAACTGGTTATAGAAATATTGTTATACGTAAAAAGGATGCAAACCAGTATTCCCTAACCTGGTCTGGGGGATCTTTGTTAAGTTCATCAGTCTAATGGATGTTAAATAGTTTCTGTTAAGCATTCCAAGTGCTAGTTCATACGTATAGATGGGGGGGGAAAAGCTTACCAAACAAAATCATTGTTTGTATGACTTCTGGGACAGGTAAGAAAATCATGTCGAAAAATACTGAGGCGTACACAGAAAGTGGTACCATTCTGTTACTTATTATTGACGGGTTTCATTTGAAATTAATTGTCTGATCAGTCCTATTTAATCAGATGTTCAGGAAGTAAAATTTTTAATATTTTAAATATTTTTAAAACAAAGAATATTTTATATCCAAAAATAATAATTTTCAGCTATGTGGATATATCTACGATGGAAAGGCCAGAACAGTCGTGTAAGATGTGAATCTGAACCTGGTACTGTATGTCTGGCTCTTCTGTTCAGCATTTTGCTTGTCTAGAACAGAATCACACGCCTTTAATCATGAACAGAGTGAATGGTTCAAAACATTCATCACCTAAAAGGACATTTTATTCCAACAGAAGAATGCCCAGGAATAACATCCATGTATTTCAAAGTTACTGACTTCCAGGTTGAAGGGCGTGTTGATGAAGACATGTTGGTGACACTACAGCACCGACAGAACAACCTTAATGCCAGTCATTCCACATATAGATGCGTGTCAAAGAGCACAGGTCACATTTCCAACCATTTTTGTAAGGAAAAACTCATGGTTTGGGATCATGGTGTTTCAGTCACGGATTGGATCGAGACTGAAAGGAGACAATGTTGCTTTCCATTTATTGCCTAAAGAACGTAAAGCAGGGAATTTCTAATATGCTTCATTCACACGAACACACGGCTGCTTTGTCTGTATCTTCACTGCAACTCCACATCGTACGGAAGTCCACAGAGAACATCCATCATTATCTTTTTCTGTCTTGTTATGTTTTCTTATGATCTCACCGTAGCCGAAGTTGTTTTCTCGAGATCACAAAAAAACGAAAGTTTTCTCTGGAAAACCAGAATTGTAATTACACATCAGATCATGTCTGTGACCAAGATGTCCGCTGCGTTTGTCCAGAGAAAAAGGGAGCTGGATTCCACTAGAAATGCTACTGGATCTTTTTTTAATTGCATTCCCACCAAAAATGTGAAGATCCCCCCATGAGCTCATTATGAAAAATGAATTTCAGGCTCTGAATGCAAGTCCTCTATGAACTTCTGTAGCGTTGAGATTTAGTGAATTATTACTTTAAAAAATAACAGCGACAGTAAAACTACAGCGTGGGCCAACAGTAGGTGTAGAGTTTTTATTTTACAAAGTTATCTTTTAAAGTAGGTACACAGTTTTTTTATTTTACACAGTTATCGCTTAAAGTAGGTACACAGTTTTTATTTTACACAGTTATCGCTTAAAGTAGGTGTAGAGTTTTTATTTTACACAGTTATCGCTTAAAGTAGGTACACAGTTTTTTTATTTTACACAGTTATCGCTTAAAGTAGGTGTAGAGTTTTTATTTTACACAGTTATCGCTTAAAGTAGGTACAAAGTTTTCATTTTACACAGTTATCGCTTAAAGTAGGTACACAGTTTTTTATTTACAGTACTCGTTGGGTCACGTTTAGTCTCTTAGGAATTCGAAATGTCCTCCGTCAACGTTGCTGTTTACTAGAGCCTGTCGCTGACGCTGTGGCACACAAATCCCGGGTAGCATCAATGTCTACAAATGCTTACTAGGTGAAGGCCTTCGATTAATCCACTGTGTAGGGCTTCCTCTCAAAAACATTCTGCTTTTTCTGCTTTACAAAGCCCAGGTCAGGTGAGTGTGGTGGCCAGTCTATGCTGGCAAGTCACCCAATCTAATGCGGTGGAAAGGTGCAGGTGTTCTCAAGGTACCTAAAGTGTGTCAGTGTCAGGGACGGGCTGCAGGAATGTATCATTAATGTATCAGGAATGTATCATTAATGTATCAGGAATGTATCATTAATGTATCAGGAATGTAACATTAACAGAGGACATTTCAAACACCTAAGAGACTAAACATGACCCAATCAATGTAAAACAAAAACTCTACAGCTACTTTAAATAATAACATTGTAAAATAAAAACCTTACTTTGTAAAATGAAAAGTGTATACCTACTTTTGACCTACCCTGTATATTTCACACTATTGTGATTAAACTTTGTAATTGGTCCTCAGTTCACGTGCTTGCCGGACCTGGGTGGGGGGTGCGCACAGATCATGGATCAGCTACAGTCCGTTGCACCAGTAGTTTTCATTTTGTCAGAAAAATGTCACACTCCATGTGATAAATGAACACCCTGCTATGGCAACACAACTACCTATTTGCTTATACAGTCCAGTGATTCATCATTACCACAAAATGCTCTTTATCAATCCACTCAAACCCATTTATCTGGGACTTGAGTTTAAGGCTCTCTTTATGTCCATGCTCAGCAGGTATCGGTGTCCCATTACGCAAACAGGACAGTCTGTGCCCAGACCGGCAGCCGACATGGTGCCACGCAAGGCCGTAAGAAGCAGCATTGTCACAAAGATCGGTATAATCCAGGCAAGGGAGCCAAGAGCTGCCATGTTTATCGGTAAAATCGTCGAGAATGAGCTTTGTGCCATTTCTCCTTTGAGCGGACCTCCCCTTAGGTACTCTGTTAGACGTAGCTAACGAGAAGCCCAGCGCTTGCAGGCCACAGGGGGTCTGATGTGGACCTGCCACGCATCCCGGAGTTCCCGCGGCTCAGCCAGCCTGTCGCCGTCACATTCTGTCACCTTCGGATTTCATTTTTACGTCGGAAAACATCTGACTTCCAGTTTCTCTATGGATTATTATGTCTTAGATTTTTGTCAACATTGGATGTTTTTTTAAACCAAATTTACACTTCAATGACTTGAACGTTTAATTAACATACATATTTTCACCTGTTAACTATTAAAATCCTGTTGAGTGTGATTTTTAAAATTAGGATTAGGGTTTGCAGTTTATTTTATATATTAATATGTTTTTATGTATTCATGCTTTGACTCGTTTTAAACTGAGAAGTTAATAACAGTTTGAATAAGCAGAGCTGCTGCTGTCTCATTCCCGAGGAAGGCAGGATGCACACGTTTGGGTCCATGTGGACGCACGGCAAATCCGGTGCCAATTTCTCAGTCACTGACTCAGTCTGGGCAGAATTCAGGGTATTCTGCGTGTTCAGTACTTTGTGGAGTGTAATCGATGCCTTGATGAGGGCTGGCGCTCGCTAACGTGCCCAGGGGGGCCGGCAGAAAGCACGGCGGAGAAGAGTGGCCATGATACACGCAGATACGCTCACACGCTCCGCGGCGGTCAGACTGAGTGTCCCATCTGTGGTCGTCCTGGTTATATCACCAGAGAGTGCTAAGCGTGCCTCAGGCCTCAGTGAAAGCAGCAGTCAGTTATAACACTCGCTTGTTCTTCCCCAAAGGACCTTCCCCCCGTACTCAGTCCATCCTGAACTTATCCAGTATTTCATTAAGGATTCTCACCACGCTATACTCAGTTTTCTTTTACTCTTTTTTGTGAAATTCCAGCACTTTCCAGCTAATTACTTTGAGGAAGATGTGTTCAGTGGTGTCTAACCATGTAGGAATTTCCCCAAATAATATATATATATATATTTACAAATATATATATTTAAAAATTGCAAACTAAATGAAGTATTTAAAGGTACAAGTTTAAAGCAAAAATATAAATAAAAACACATAAAAATTCTTCAAGTAGGAATACCCATTCTTTTTCTCTTCCGGTCCATTGAACGGAAACAACTTCTCTGTTCATTCCGATGTCGCAAATTTTTAAATTGCTACCAAACCTATTACCTGCCACCGATACATATGTTGCAGTTAATCTCAGGTGTGTTTTTAAAGTTTACCGAGTTTAAAGTATCGCTTCAAACATGCACTCGAAGTTATTTTGGATGCTCTGTAAAATATGGAAACTATTTAAAAAAAAAATATTTAGCACAATAATTTAAGGAATTCCCTTTGGGTTCTGAATTGGATTTGAATCCAGGTCACTGGACTTGCTTTACGAGCCAGATGTGCGGTTTGTCTTTAAAAATAACCTTCCAGGCACCAGTGTTTGTGTGTGTCACCTGCACTGGACGCAGCACAGAGCCATGCTATTTCAGATTTCGGCAATGGAGGATAAATTAATTGACATGCAGGGGATGTGGCATGTTTAACAAAGCACTTTGTTTATGGTTACACTGCCGACCCGCTCAGTGTCTGTCTCTGCTTTGATAATATCAGTGTTTAATGAAAGCGAAGTATTAAAATTTACCATCTGAACTAAACGAAAAGCACAAAATTGCCGGAACATTGGATCCTTCTTCTCCTGTTATCCACTGACCACTGACTGGTTGTTTGTGTGATTTCGTCTGTGTCAACAGCTACAAACCCAGGTTAATGATTTGCTGAAAACCATCAGTAGACAGAAGAGGCAGCTCCCCCTACCTTGATCGATCAGAGCCGGGCTGCATGACACCCAGGCGAGCCGCCTGTCCGTCGTGGTCTGACCTGAGGGATGCGGCAGCTCAGCCGGAGCCTCTTACCTTGGAAGAGACCGACAGCCTGAAGGACAGTGAGCGTCTGCAGCAGTCTGCTCCTCCATCTCATGGCGCGGACTCTGTTGTGGGGGCCGCCTGTCTCTTTGATAAAAAAGCGACGTTCGGCGACAAAAGGAAAAATTCTGTCTTCATGTGCTTCTGTTTGGCGCGGCGCTCACTCAGCCACGGCCCGCCAGCAGGTAACCTTTGTAACATGTGGTTTCTGCCTTTGCTGCTTGTGGGCTTACTGGGTCACATGGCCCTCTCTGGGTCATGTGACCGCACGCTGCTTCCCATGCTCAGTGCATGCAGGGCATCGCCGCATCTGATCACGGATGGAAACTTCAGATATAAAAAAAAGGCGATGCGTAGCGATTCTGCAGTGCTGTGCCCTAAACATGCACCACATTCTCATAGCTGCCAGCAGAGCTTGGGAAGTTGCATGTAAAGCTGCTGGCGTTTATAAAAGCTGTGAAACTTGATTGTTTGGGCCCAATGAGGAAAAAACCTTTCCATAAACCTGTAAAAACAAAAAGCATTCACAGCCTTCTGAAATGCCGCAGGAGCCATTAAAACGAGACATAATAGTTGCATCATTAGTTATTTCCTTTGAAAAGGCCTCACAAAGTATCAGCTATGAGCTGATGGCCTTTGAGGCCGCAAATCGTATTTCAGATCCCTCTGTGCTGCATAATCATGGCGTTTGTCTGTGTCCTGATTTGGCTGATTGTGCTCATTGCTGAAAGCAGCCATTTTTTTTTTCCTCTCTTCTGACCTTCCAGGTGTGCTACAGGGTAGATATATAACCACAGACTCCACAGACCCCACAGACCGGCTGAATGCAGTACAGCAGCACACATGGGTCACTGGGTTGTGGTGCCACAGACCGGACCGGCGGCTGCACTGCAGATACAGCTCTTACCAGCAGACTTTCCAGACCCCGTTCTGCTGTCCGGTTGGTAACTGCAACCTGGGGACTGAGTGTCTCTCTCTGTCCAGTGGCTTTGGAGCCCATAAGGGTGACAGAAGTTGAGAATGGTGGGTCACATGACGGCCCCCATTGCTCAGTGATTTGGGCTCCCGTGAGTCCTGCATCGCACATAATCGGTGTGTAAATTATTTATGAGCAGTGCAGCGGACATCTTGGTCACAGACAAGATATATATAGTCATCCCTCACCTACTGCAAGACTCACAGCAGACAGTGTCCAGGGTGGCGCTAGTGAGCAGGTAATGAAAGACAGAGACAAACACAGTCTGCTCTATATTACGGTGAGGACTGGTGAAAATGACAGACTGCTCAGTCTCATGTGACTGCTATTTTAATGGCCATAATACCAACATTACAATATTATTCCATGCCTGTAACAGTAATGAAAACCAGCTATTTATTACCTTTGTTTTCGCCTAGTATAGGAGCTGCTGTTTCAGAGCTTTCCCTAATACGCATATGTGGCATCGGCTGTAATTTCTGGATGGTGGCAGGTCATTTGAATGTGGCAGCTCCAGTACCGCATTCTTCCAGCAGAGGCCGCTGCAGCTTTACTCAGGTCATTCCCAGTCGTCCGTTACGTCATTCCCAACAGCGAAGTGTGTTTATCCTTAATTTATACTTGACGATGGTCATTTATAATGCAGCATGAAGAGCGTGGCAGTTTTAAAATGATTGTTACGTAATTCACAGCTTGGTGCGATTATACCACCAGAGTCATTTGTCCATAAATGTGACTGTTTTTTCATTTTACCAGCTGTTATTTAATGTACACCTTTACAGTTTAAACCGCTTATTTTATGCTTAATTAGTGTGATTCTTTTTAAGCTTATCTGTTTACTTCATTTTATGACTTATTTCATGAAATATTTGTCAAATATGAAATCACTTGTTTTCACAAAATTATATGTCCAGTTTGTATTTCTTCATTGTAATGAAATCTAAAGAACTGAAGAATTTGACAAGTCCCAGTTATGAAGCTGAATTCAGAACTCATTCCATTACAGCTGTCCTCTGAAATGGTTATAAAAGAAAACTGCAAATTGCTGTTGCCACAAGAGCAGGGAGGGAGATTGATAATCCTTTCGGTTGGAGTTAATAATTCATATGTATAGATTTCTAATTTGACTAGGGATCAAATACCCTGGCCCCCCTGACTGGATTTCCCTGCTGAAATACTTCAGCTTCACCATTTATTAATATTTATAAAAGACATTTTCTGTATTTTGTTTCCTATGAGGCAGCTCTTCCATACAGGAGATTTTGTAATTCATTGATGCTTCAATGCCAATTAATATAATAATATATTTTAAGAGTTCAGTGAAGACAGTAATTTCCAGATCCTTCCTTTTTTGTTTTTCCGGGAAGTTAATAGAGGTCTGCTTTTGCCAGTTTCCTTGCTTGTACCAGCATCAGTGAATGAGTTTGACATTTTTGCTGCCAAAATAGAAGCCAGATGTTCCACCTTAATCTGTGGGGACAAGAAATCCAGCAGACAATCCAAGTCTTTGTCAGTAAGTCTTGTAAATTGTCAGTCTGTTGACAAAGTATTTGCTTAATCATAGTTGCAAAAAGGCACAATGCTTGACCTGTTATGTAGCTCAGAGCCGGAATAAAGAAACATCTTAACTTGCCCACACCCAGGAAATCTAATCCAATGAAAATTCAGTGGCATATGAAAAACATGCGTTTTCTGTTATATGTATTTACTGTAGTTGTGCCAAGTTTTCTACCAACCAGGAAGGATGTTAAGCTGGGAAGCAGCAATAACAGCCCCCAGTTAGGAAGCTACATTGTTGCCTGTTGTGTATCTTTCATAGGAAAGCGGACGGCACTCTGGTTAAGAGCATGAAGTCTGCTGCAGGTTTTAACCGGAGCTGCTACATAAACTCCGCTTATATCATGTGGGAAAAAACTGTAAGATAAGCAAGTAAATGTAGATGTATATCGCCACCTGCTGGCGGACTGTATGAGTAACGAGTTTAGCGCCCATACTGTGCGCCTCAGCTCTACATAAAGACACATGGATAAAGCAGGATGCCAGTCAATTACATCTAACCTCAGTTTCACCCCCCACACTTACCCGAAACCCTTTACCCGTAGGACTCTGTGGCTGGGCATCCTTCCCATCAGTAATTACTGTTGGCTGTGGTAAATTGTAATCGTGGGGCATGTGGAGGTTGCCATACTGAGAGCGTTTAGAACGTCTTGGGTCATGTGGGTCCACTTTTGGCAGCAGAGGCGGTTCCTCCTCTGGATGTTGCGTTCTGTCAGCTCTCTGTGGAGTATCAGACCCCGCCTGCACACTGCATTCTGTCAGCTCTCTGTGGAGTATCAGACCCCGCCTGCACACTGCATTCTGTCAGCTCTCTGTG